CATCAGAACAACTACCATGGAAATATTTATAGAATAGCACAGAGAAACGACGTTACAGCTGTGGGAAAGTTACTAAAGCTGAGATACCAGGTCAAGGCCGATAAAATTGCAGATTCTATCAAGAATCTCTAAATACATCACAGAAGTACCTGACCAGATGTGACAGTAATATTCAAAGCATGGTAGATTTGTAAATATGTAAGATAGATTCTGTCGAGAAAAATTGTCTAGTAGAATTTGGTTCACTCTATTCTACTATAGAACACAGTCAACCAACTTTCCTAGCAGCAGATTTAGTAACCAATTCAATATAAGCTACTAAACAGAGAGAATCAATATATAATATTAAACGTAACGCGGATTAGAAAATTCAAGCCAAACCAATAGGAAAGACGGACAGAAAGATACTGTTAGGGAAAACTTTGGACTACGTGTGTAATAAGCAGATACTCTCATAGGGTCATTAGATAATAACGTTTTATAATAACTTGTCATATCTGCTTCTAATTTAAGCATCATGATTTATTCAGTATTTTAAAACGATTGTCCGGTAGCTGTCCTATGAGTGTTAACAAATGTCGTTTTGCAGTTAAGTACCAGTAACGTCATATATATAGAAATAGTAACATACATCCATTAGAAATATTAACATAAATCAAATAACCCTAAGTACATCAAATTAATATACTGTAATCAAATGCATTATAACTATAAACAAGATGAAAAAATCCTTAAAATCTCCTAATTACTCATATTTCCCACTGATTCCAGAAAACAAACATAATTATATACTATACTAAATTTAGCCCAACCAACTTAATCATCCGTAATAAATCTTCTCTGTAAACTAGTGTTTTAGAAAAAACCAACATTGTATATCAATTTAAATGTTTAAAAGTATATATGTTGGCTTGACAATCACAACATTATCAAGGTGTCACACGCTCCATTTGTCAGATACAAGTTCTATCGCACAACATTTAAAGACACATTCCTGTCTACCTTCACAATACAGGAAAATACTTGTTGACAACAACAATATACTACACCATGAGAATAATAAACAAAAACTTCACATTCTCGAGGCCTTCTATGTCAAAAGCAACCAACCAACATTCAGCTAAATTTATTACGTGTATCGTAGCAATGTTTTAAAAAGTATTTGACCAACATTTAATGTCATTTGCAGGTCTGGTTAGTTCCCTTATATTGTGGACGCTTGTTTACAAAAAACAAAAAACAAAAAAAAACACCATAGCTACATTTGTTAAATTTAAAATAATTATAACAGAGCACGTTCACGCGTCTTTTACAAAAATCTCCATCACAATCAATGACAGTTACATTAAGTTTGTCTTTGCTATTAACCGCTGAGGATGTTCTCGGAAGAGATCGAAAGTACTTGGGTTAACAAAAACTACGCCGCCTTCTTTGATGAATTTCAAGTTAACATCAAGAAGATAATTAGAGAACTAGAAAGGACTATTTTGAAAATTAATAGACATAATATATCTATATTACTTAGTCATTTAATGCCGACAACTTTTTTTTTCCTGGAAATATTTTTTCCCTCAAAAATGTATAGCTGGTAACATTATTTTTTCAAAAACGTATGGGTGGTAACATTATTTTTTCAAAAACGTATTGCTGGTAATAGTTTGTTTTTTTTCAAAAACGTAAAGGAGGGGAAAACTATTTACCCATAGCTACTACCCCGGGTCAGGGTGAACCCCGGAACAACAGCAACTAAGATGCGGTTCCACACTCCTCAAAACTCCTGATCAGAGGCCTTGCTGCTGGATGAAGTTTATCGTCATACCCAGAACACATCTCTATTAGGATACGTAGCAATAGCCAGCTTCTCTTATTGACACAGACGGCAGCAGTTGCCACGGACTCTGCCTGTCTTCAAATTTCTTATTATACTCCACTTTACGCATGAATTTCTTCCATATATTTTCTAAACCCTCAAATAATATATATATATATATATATATATATATATATATATATATATACTGACTCTCCCGTCGAATTCGACGTATGAGGGTCAAGGAAATCAGTTTCTAGGAAACTGACAGCCCGACGCCAGCACATGAGATTTGATTATAGTGGTGATGGTTTTGTGCAGAACAATCCACACTTTTTGATGGGACGAATACAGAGACCTGGTGCTTTACGTGCCACAGGATCCCCGAACGATCTTTCGCAGGTTTTGAATTCAGAGTTGTCCTTCTCCTAGACCAGTTACCATCCAAGGGTATAGAACCCAGTCTGCCCTGCTATTTACTCATAGCTGGAGGGAGAACAAGAGGTTCACACCTTTCCCAAGAGTATTAGCACTGAATGTAATGGATTCGACTCCTCAATCCAAGTCACTATCAATTACTCCGACGTGCCCTCTCAATATATATATATATATATATATATATATATATATATATATATCTGAAAACGATATTTACATGTTTTTATATCAAGTACAATTTTAGGGAAATTTATGACAAAGTGTAAAAAGATTTCGTGTGACGTGTTTCGACTTTTAGTACTTCATCAGGCTAAAGTGATGTTTACGTTGATACGACTACACATGTGCAAGAAGGAAAGGGAACGCTAATAATTTTAATTTTTTTAAAATATATGTTTTGAGTAACCGACTTCATTTAGTTTATTTTTTTATTTGTTCATATTTCCATCGCTTTTATTAATAAATATCCCACGAAATGTTGTAAAAACCTTGGCGCATATTTACTGTGGATGATCTAGCGATTAAAGCACTTTCTATATATTTTAGTTTTTCTCTTTTAACCAAAGTAGCTCTTTGTAAAATCAAATAATGTGGTCAGATACATTATAGGGAAAATTATCACTTTAGTCCGATGAAGTCTTAAAGTTCTGATCATGGTTGATTCTGGCATCTCCAATGTGTAGCTCGCATCTTGGGCTGTTCCTCTCAATGACAACCATAAATTCTGTCTTCTTACAATTTATAGTTAGTCCTCCCTTCCCAATTTCCTTTACTACGTTCTCTGGAAGTTCCTACTGTTTTCTTTCTGTGTCCGCCATCAGCCATTTTGTCCGACAATTCTAAATCCTGGTAGGACTTATAGTTTTCCGACATTTGAAATACAACCAATGTTCGCTTGGCTTTTACTTTGAGATTCTAGCACTTCAACACGTACATTTTTGAAGTATTGAATAACAAGCAAAGATGATTCTTGGTAATGTGTCAAGAAAAAATAAAACAAAACAAAATGTCGATCTGTCTTAGTCACGGCCAGTCCATTTCATTTGCTAATTAGAGGCAAAATCAAAAGATAGCAAGGGAACGTGACTCGGCATCATGTTCTCTTCGTGTTAAATCAAGTTAAATAAATTTGCATACCACGACATTGGATAGCAAGCAAAATATTGTCTACACAAGAGATTATCTCAATCTAAGCGCCCGCCAGCGAAGTCTGTATACTTGTATGTGTGTGTGTGTGTGTGTGTGTTTGCGCACGCATGCGCCTGCGTTTCGCATAGACTTACGAGGCGAGATCAATAAGGTTGTTGGCTGATGTAGTTTAGTTCTCATCTGAAACTTTCATTGTATAATGTTAGATCTATGTGACTAATGAAGAATTATTGGCTTAAGTACCAAACAGCTTCTTCCTGCAAACCACTGCTCTGTGGAACAGACTCCCAAGAGGATGCTTCCCCGATCACTACAATTTTAACCGGTTCAAGTTTAGAGTTAGCCGTTATCTTTCCTCCTATCCATATAATCCACCCCTTAATGCAATCGAGTGACCCCGGGCCTTGTACAGGGAGGACCCTACTGTAAAAAAAAAAAGTGCGTTGACAAGGAGGAGATTATGTTGAAAAATAAATTTTTGTTAATGTAAAAAAATTTTTTTTCATCACTAGGCTATGGACTTGTTGATGTGCATTAATCAGTGTATTTGCTGATTTGTCTATATTAGTCCGTCGCTAGTGTATTTATTTCAGTGTATTTATAAATTTATCTATATCAGTCCATAAGCGTTAACTTTTAACGTTTTTTTTTAGACATGAAGTTTATCAAATAATAAAATAAGATTAAAAAGAACGACGGAATATTTTATAAACAACGCAATCATAAAAACGTACAAGTAAAAACTTAACCATAATAATTACTGGTTGTGCTCTCGGGCGAAATTCGAAATTAATAAATAGGGGAGGCCTTAATAAGTTCTGTAGGAGGAAAATTTTCTCAAAAATGAATAAATAAGTAAAGTTTCCCTTCTCTCTGTTAAACTTGTAAGATAATACCGCAATTTGAACAGGAAGAAAATAATAATAATGTGGTATATGGGAACATCAACAATCTCTGTTGTAGTTGGAGCCTTCGGATTGGTTGGAAAAGATTCCAATAGACTCATTGAAGGGGTTCCTGGAAGCTCATGCCTTAAAGAAATACAAAAAATTGCTCTCACGGGTACAGCCCACAACTTACGAAAGGCTTTATCTATGTAAAATATGTGTGTTGTTGTTTTAATTGGTCAGTGGAAAATGTCATGATGCCATTTCTGACCTTAGGTCTCTGTGCGGGACCTGAAAAAATGTGTACACACCAGAAATCAAAGGAATATAAAAACAAACAAACAAACAAACAAAAACAACAAAATACAAGGACCTTGAAATCGAAATCTCAGAAATGTGGCACATGAGGACAACAACAATTCCAGTTATAGTTGGATCCCTCGTATTGATTGGAACGATTCCAATAGACTCATTGAATGGATTCCTGACAGCCTTAAAGAAATACAAAAAATTTTTCTCACAGGTACAGCCCACGTTTTACGAAGGGCTTTATCTATGTAAAATATGTGTAATTTTTATTTTTTATTTTTCTTAAATGCTCAGTGGAAAATGTTATGATGCCATTTCTGATCTTAGGTCTCTGGTCGGGACCCGGAAAGAAATGAGTATACACCAAAAATCAAAGAAAATAAAATAACAACAATAATAATAAAAACAAGGGAAAAGAAGGGGAAAAAACGGATACAAACAAGGAAGATGAAAAAAGGGAGACAAAAAGGAAAAGGAAACATATTGAAAAGAAAGAAAGAAAGAAAGAAAGAAAGAAAGAATATCAGGATAGAAACAAAAAGAAAGAAGAAAAACGGAGAAAAATAGAGGAATTGGAAGGTAAAAATATAAAAATGAACAAGCAAAATATAAAATAAAAGAAAGATGATGAAAACAATGAAGAAGAAAAAGAGAATAACATAAAAGAAAAAAGAAGAAAGAATATGAAGAGAAGGAAAGAAAGAAAGAATCAGGACAGAAGCAGAAACAGAAAAATAGAGGAAAAAGTAGAGGAAGATAGAAGAAAATGAAGGAAAAAAGGAGAGAAAGAGAAAAGGGAAGAGGGAACGAAAATATGAAAATAAAAAAAAATGAAAGACGAGAAAACAGTGAAGAAGAAATAGAGGAAAAGAGATAAGGATGAAGAAAGACTAAAGAGAAAAGAGAGTAGAAACGAAGATGAAAAATTTAAAAAATGACGGAGAGAGGGAATATAGGATAAAAACGCAAACGAAAATGCGAAGAAGAGTAAACGAATCTGGCGGAAAGAAAAAGAGAAAAGAAAATGGAGAAAAAAAATGAGAAATTGAGAAAGAAGACGAGTAAATTTACAAAGAAAGAATGAAAAATGCGATGAAAGGAAAGATGAAAAATAGAACAGGAAGAAGTAAATAAATTATAGGATAAGAAGAAAAATACTAAACGACACAAGAAGAAAAATGTAAAGAAATGAATGAATGAATGAATGAATGAAAGAGAAAGAAAAATGAATGAAAAAGTGTGAATGAAAGAAAAATGAAATAAAAATTAATAGAAAAATAGAAAGAAAATATAAAGAGCAAAAAGAATGAAGAAAGAGTAAATGAGTGTAAAAAGAATGGGAGAAAAAAAAGAATGAAAGATAAAGAAAAAATAAAGAAGAGCGGAAGATGACTGGACTGAAAAGGAAAAATGGAGGAAAGAACAAGACAATGAAAGTAGAAAAAAAAGAAAGTCGAGGGAAAGAGAAAAAGGTTAAAAGAAAATAAGAAAAAAAGAAAGATGAGGGAAAGGGGAAAAGGTTAAAAGAAAATAAGAGAAAAAAGAAAAAAGCCTACAGTTGAAAAGGAAGAAGCAAAAAAAGGGAGGAGAAAAGAAAGCGGCCAAAAAAAAAAAGGAAAGAAAAGAAAGAAGCTAAGACGGGAACATTCAAGGTGAGAAAGAAAGACAAAGAGAGAACTTAATGATCTGTTTTAAATGCTATATTCTTTCTGGAAGTTCGATCCTCACTGGATGCTCCACACTTTCGGCCTTGTGCCACATTTAAGCTACGCTTAGAAAATCATCATATCCTTTCAGAACATAGACGATCATGGCTCTTCCTTTCGACAGCTTTTTTTTTATTATTATCTGCGATTAAATATGATTTCTTGGGGTAAATAGTGGAGTGGTTTCCCGTTGCCGCTTCCACGACTTTCAATTCAGTTTTGTCCTTCTTTTAGATATCTACCACCCTGGGTTAGGAAGTCTACCCTGATGTTTATCCCACAGCTAGATGAGGCATTTGTGAAAATGAAACCAACAAACAAAACCGGAAATCGAACCCGGCTCACCGAGTCGACTTTCCGCATAGCTAGCAAACCGCGCATTCCTTAAAGGTAATAGAAGAAATATAGCGAGAGGTACAGAGAGAAGAAGAAAGACAAGGAGAAGAAAAGTCAGAAAGATTTAGAGAAATGATGATTTTAAAATAATAAAAGAAAAACGGGAAAGTATTTAGAGAGTGGGGAGAAAAAGAAAGGATGATTTTGAGATATAACGCATGCGCAAAAAGAGTGTGTAATCTCGATTTGACTAAAGAAAGAAAGAGATAATGGACGTCTTCTTTCAGGTTAGTCTGTGGTTATGTCTCTAGAGATATCGATTCTTCGTTTGCTACACGGAAACCACCTTTCGTTTTTCTTTCTTTGATAATTGTTTCATCGGCAAACGACAACTCTACAGTGGCATTGGTTACATTCATTCTAGAGGGCCGTCCGCCTCCTACGCTCAAACGCACAACTCTGCTAATACTGGCGCCTACGCACACAATTTTAAAAGGGAGGAGTAAAGATTTCCATTACATTGAACGCGCGAACGGGCGTGTATGTTTGTACGTCAACGTGTGGGAGGTGGACACTATAAAGAACCAAGAACGAGACAACATTGGTTCAGGTTTTTCTCTGCAGTGCAATCTATATAGAATTAAAAAATATATAAAAGCCACGAAAATCTAAAGACGGGGTACATTCTAGCTCCTGTTATCGACTGGCCAGGATCACAGCTACGGAAGAACATCCAACACTTCAAGACATTTTTTGAAAGAAATTTGGAGGCGAACGTGAAAAATGGACAGGTCAGTGTTCTTTTATTTTAATATAAGTTCTAAAATATTTTGCAATTTGTTCTTTTACTTGTATACCAAGTTAAATTCTTAGTAGCTAACCTGGGACCCTGTCAGAGCGGTTAATAATTATTATCATCTCTTCAGAAAGTAAGCGATAATGGTCCTCTAGAATTTCCTATTATTTGTAGGTTTTATCAGTATTTGTTTTGTTTTTTTTTATCACCCCTCCCACTATTTGTTCTACCGTCAATTTACACAAACGTTTTAAGTTATTAGCTACTTTCTCTTGTCCCCTTACCTTCAATATGTCCTGCGGGTGTCAAATTCTCCAATCCCTCTTTTCTCATTATGTACCATAAAAATTTTCAGTTGTCTCTTTCTGCTTCTAAGTATAAGTGTCATTATTGTTTCCAATTTCCTTAAAACTTCCATGTTCTGTCTATGAAATTCTCAGCATCCGTCCATAGAATCACATTTCTGCTGCCCCTTGTCTCTTCTTCATCTGTGAAGAAATTGTTCGCTGCCATCTAGGAGGGCCGATATTCCGTAACAGTTCAGTACTCATTTTTTTTCCTGTTTCTTAATACTTTGCTTAACTTTTGCAATGCCTCTTTCGCTATCTCAATGCACCTTCGGGTGTCGGTATTGGATTCTTCGTCTTGTGTTAAAACACCTCCTAGATATTTGAATGTTTGTACTTGATTGATTTTGACGTCTCCAATTTCTAGTTCGCACCTTTTGGGATGACCCTTTTACTGACAACCAGACATTCTGTTTGGTTTGCTTTACGGCATATCAACCTCAATGGGTTATTTAATGCCGACAAGATTTTTATTGTTTGCAATATTTTTTCAAAAACGTATGGCTGGTAATATTTTTTTTTCAAAAATGTATTGCTAGCAACATTTTTTCCAAAAAGTATAGCTAGTATTAAAACTTATTTTTTATACTTTTATAGTGTTTTGACCCCTTTTGTTGGGTTTAACTATTTGTCCTTAGCTGGGACCCTGACAGGTGATATCATCCAGGGTCAGGGTGGACCTGGGAACACCAACAATTAAGAGGTGATTCCACGCTCCTCAAAACCTTCTGATCAAAGACGTTACTGTCGGATGTTGTTTATCGTCGTATCCAAGACGCGCAGGTAGTTTATCGTGTTACACAGGACGCCAGATATCTTCTTACAATTAAGTCCTTTCCTCTCCCTTTCCTTTATTACCTTCTGTAGGAATTCCTGCAGTTTTCTTTCTTGTCTGCAATCAGCACTGTCATCTGTATATCTTTAATGTATTCCATGTTCAATTCTTACTGGCTAACCCAGAATTATGGCTGATCGGTTAATATAATGGTTATCAGCTCGAAAAAAAGAAAAAAAACTGACATAACTCCTATGTGGCATGTTCCTACAGAACGTAGGCGATAATGGTTCTCCATAATTTCCTATCCTTTGTAGCTCTTAACACGTGTTTGTCTTTTTACTGCCACTCTTTTTCATCTTCCCATTCCTCTTTCTTTCTCTCTTTTTCTCTTTCTTTCTTGTTTCATTTTTCCATTTGTTCTCTTTCCTTTTCCTTTTTTTGTCTTCTCTTTTTCATCTTTCTTGTTTGTACCCATTTTCTTTCTTTCTTTTCTCTTGTTTTTTATTATTATTGTTGTTATCTTATTTTCTTTGATTTCTGATGTATACGATTCACTTACACAAGCCCGTTAAGTAGGTTACCTCTCTGCCCCGCTTACATGCAATATGTCCTGTGGGCGTCAAATTCTCCAAGACCTCTTTCCTTGTTATGTACCCTAGACATTTCAACTCTCTTTCTGATTCTAAGTATAAGAGTCTTTTTTTTTCTTTCTATTTTTCTTCATTGTTTATATACTCCGTCTATGATATTCTCAGAATCCATCTACAGAAGCATTTATCTGTTGTCATCTGTAAGAAAATTGTGAAGCATTCGCTGCCATATATAAGGACTGATATTATATAGCAGTTCAGCACTATTTTCGGCGCTATTACACATTGGCACCCCCGTTGCTTCCTGTCATTTAGGAATGGCTTGCCCCAGGTACGACAGTCTGGAAATTGATCTGTTTAAAATTGTTAATTGTAATGTTTAAATTTAAATTAAAATATAAATCTCAAAAAACAAAATCATTGTTTGTAAAATCCCTAACCAAAGGTGGTGTGAAAATGTAATAGCTCCCTATTTTCCCTGGTTCGAATAGATTTTTCCTTTTTCTTAATACTTAATTTTTGAAAAGCATCTTTTACGGTTCCAATGCGCCTTCTAACTTCAGTGTTACATTTTCCGCAATCTTTCATTTAAATTTGTCTCATAATTCGTGGCTCTTGGACTTCGTTTTATTAACGACTATGCATTCTATCTTCTTACAACCGATAGTCCTTTCTTCCCACTTTCCTTCATTACCTTGGTACGGATTCTGCACTAGCGCTCTTCAAAAAAGAAAGTGTGTAAAAAAAGTAAATTGGCCAAAATCTGTGCTTTCGCCGCAGTAAATTACTAAACATTATGGCAGTAATGGTGGACGAATGACCAACAAGAAGTTCGATATTTTCTTGTCGATAACTCCAAAATGGTAGTTTTTTTCATAATTTAATTATTAATTCTAGTTCAGCATGTACATTTACACGGAATTATGACGATTTGGGAAAATTTTAAGAGATATTTAGCGCGGGCTCAAAAAAGCAAATTTACCCATATTTTTTCATCTTAGTAATATGTAAGGCTGATTAGGATCACTAGACTTGATAAAGCAACCAGTCTAAAAGAAGGAAATCTTTGAATTCAAAACAGTGGGAGTGACATTAATGAAAAAAATACTACTATAGTGTTTTGTATGACTTGAGCTCTACAATACTACTAAAAGAATATGATATGTCAATTCAGGACGTAGGCGATCAGGGCTCTCTACAGATTTCTTTCCTTTATTTTCTGTGAATTACTATAGCTTCTTTGGAAAGGCACTAGAGTGGTTTCCCGTTACCCTTCTCCGATTTAGAATTCAGATTTGTCTTTATCTATTCAGAGCGTAGACGCTTATGACTCTCCACAGATTCCTTTCCTTTATTATCTGTAAATTGTCAAACGATCTTTGGAAAGACACGAGAGTGGTTTCCCAATGCTTTCTCTACAGTTTAGAATTATGATCTGTCCTCTTCAGAACATAGACAAACATGGCTCTCCACAGATTCTATTCCTTTTTTATTATTTGTGAACTGTCATACCTTCTTGAGAAAGACGCTGGAGTGGTGTACCGTTGTCTATTCAGTTTTTCATTCACTTAGACTGGTTGCCACCAATGGTTAGAGAGCCCTGTCTACTTTCTTATTTAACCCATGGATTGGGGGTCACTGTTTACATTTTCTGCCCCAATAACCGTTACACAACCCATACGTATCCAAAGATGAGTAGATAAATTAATATTTTATAGATCAGGTCGTCTATCTTCTAACAATATTTATTTCACTTTACCAGACAAATTTCAACTTTTGATAATATTAATGCTATCCGTGGGGTGGTATGTTTCAAAAACTCCCGGAAAATACCTGAAAGCGGATATTACTTTTTCCGCCACGTAAAGTTTAGTTTCCAAATGAAACACAAAAGATTAACAAAATAATAATAATAATAATAATAATAATAATAATAACAGAACAAATTATAACAATATACAATATTAAGAGTTGGGCACCTCGAGGCGGTGTAAAGCTTGTCTCGCTAGAACAATTACAACTGAGTCGTGAGTTCGATCCTCACTGGGTGCCCGATACCTTCGGCTACGCTTGGAAAATCACTACAATATTAAAAGTTATGTGACGGATAGAAGATTCGTTCTTACTGTAGATCTTATTAAACACAAGATTTTAAAAATAACTAATAGTGAAATAGAACAATATAACAATCGAATGTAATAAAAGTTATGTGACCATTAACTAATAATGAGATATCGATTGATTGTTTTCTACGCCTTAGATACAAGACTTATTGATAAACTAGCAGTATAACCGGTCATCGCCCGGGTGTTTCATTACTGGGAATTTTTGTTTTTCATTTGGAGCTGTTTAAGTTTAAAGTCAGCCCACCCGAAAATAAATATTAGTAACAATTGGGTGCAACTGAGGCACATCCCCAAATGAGGGGTTAACAATCTGAATGGGGTGTTGCCCTGAAAAGGGCTGTTTTTGCGTTTTCAATCTCACAAGGAAGGAACCTCTTCGATGGACCGTCATAATAATAATAATAATATACGATAATTTTTATTTATAATATAATTTTTTTTATAATTCTAAAAATCATTTTCGTTACATTTCAACTCTCTAAATGGATTGTACGCTGATTTTTACAGACATTAAATGTTGCATTTGATTTATGCGCAAAGTGTAAAAAATCAGATTTTTCAATTTTTCCCCTTCAAGGTTGTAATTTTTTCCAGCCAATTCGGACTCAAAACCGGCACTGAAGAATTATCTATCAAATAAAAAAATTCATTGAAATCAGATGAAAACTGAAAACGCGTAAAAAAAATCCGATCACACACACACACACATACATATACCCACACATTTTAAAAATTATAGATATAGAAAGACTTATTAATTAACCCATAGATCTGGCGAGAAG